GCTGGGATTTGAACCCAGGATCTCCTGTTTACTAGACAGGCGCTTTGACCAACTAAGCCACAGCACCTTAATAAAGCAGTGGGGCTAGTTATATTCCTTTATTTGCTAGTTTGTTTTAGGTCTAATGCCACAAAAATAACGAGGCAGATTACCTTGAAACTTGGTGGAAGGTTGTTGTATTGGTCAGGGAAGAACCCATTAAATTTCAATGCAGATCTAATTTATGATAGTTGTTACTAAGAGATTGGCTCTATATAAGGTACTGCTGGGATTTGAACCCAGGATCTCCTGTTTACTAGACAGGCACTTTGACCAACTAAGCCACAGCACCTTATAATAATTGAGGTGTTAGTAGTGATATCTCAGCATGTAAGTAAGTAAGTATGTGTATATTTATATATTAGCTGTATATCTATCCATCTGTCTGTCTATCTATTTTTATTTGATTCATTAATGTATGCATTCATTGGTTTCCTTCCTTTTCCTTGCCCTTATATCTACTACAAACTCTCAATAGGAAATCGTGTAGTTACTTTTATTTGTCCATGAATGTTGCGAAACACGACCTTTACACCGACTTTTATTTTGTAGGCTGTGACCGGAATCTGCGTGTTTCCGTTCCCGTGGCTTGATGGTGAGAGGTGAGGGAGGGAGGCCACAACCAGCGAGCTCCGAGCGGGCAGCGGAGGATGTCGACCCCGCTGCGGGGACAAGCCCCGGGCGAGACGCTAGTGTCCGGCCGGCCGCCGTTCACCCCGTCGCCCCGCGGCCCCCGGCGCCCATGAAGCCCCCGCGGATGACTCCCCGAGAAGCCGGAGTGAGGCGGAAAGTGGCCGGAGACAGAGAGCATGTACTGGCGCGTCGGGTTCGCCTGGACGCGGTCTTGTGTGGTTGATCTCGGCCAGAACCGGAGCTTCTCCTGCGGCCCGCTGGGCGCCGGCGAGCAGCTGTCGTTTTATGGGTGCATCATCGCCTACCCCCTGCAGGACCACAGCGGGATCATGTCCGCTCTGGGCTCGGACTCGTGGTGGAGGAAGACGCTGTATCTGACCGGAGGGGCTCTGCTCGCTGCCGCTGCCTATCTGCTGCACGAACTGCTCTCCATCAGGTACCGAGGCTGAGCGAGGAGCCTGCAGAGCATCAGCACTGTCAGGCCGCTGCAAACTAACTCAACACCCGCTGTGCTTCTCAATATTATTCACATTTCACCCATCGCCTGCTGTATTTTCACCGGGGGGGGTGGGGGGGGGGGGGGTGATATTACTTAATCTGCTCAGGGTGGGAGGGGGAGCGAGAGGAGTCAGGGGAGAATAAGAAATCGTGAGTGGGTGGGTTGTGATGTAACCCCCCCCCAGCCCAACATCCTCCTCACAAACACTCACCATCAGGAGATCCACACCTTTATTGGCTCATTTGACCTTAATTATTAATGATGAGAGCCTCCGGTTGCAAATAGGCTTTTCATTCAGTTGGATTTTTTTCAAAAATCTGAATCACACCTTTTCAAACAGCTCGTCCTCCATGTTGTTTGTTGGTGATGTGTGTGGGCCTATAACACACAGCTCCCACGTCACGTGAATGGACATTAAAGACTGAGACAGCAGGTCACTTTCAGTGTATCTCAAGGACGATTTGACACCTAATATATGGATTCACCTTCAGTTTGCTTTATTTACCAGTTTTCAATCTTTAAAAAAATCCCATTACAACCTCTGATGTAAACAGTCAAACGTTAAAGGCCAAACACACCATTGTAGTGGGAGCTGTGACAGGATTTATATCTTGTAGAAGTCTGTATATCTTCATCCATTAATACTGATTGTATATTGGCAGGAAGCAGGACTGACCTAGTCTGTTGTCGTCTGTCATCTTGGGTTTCATGCAGGCCGGGCCCTCAGCTGCACAGTTTGTAGAAGGACACTTCACAGTCCGCATGGATGACACATCTGTGGTCTCTTAAGGGAATAAGATAAAAAGGTTATTCATGTGATTGTATTTCTAGTGACAGAGCAGAGTGGTGTTCTTATAAATGTTGTTGTCGTTGTGTCGATTTTTAGACGTTTTTGGTGTAAAAGCAGGTTTGTTGTGCAGTGAAAGATTCATTTCTACTGATGTTTTTTTCCAGTCTAATGTTAAGTATTGCAGCTCTCTCTCCTTATATATCTCCTGATATATCCATTTTACTACAGCCTCCATCCTTACATAGTGTTGCATCCGTAACATTATCCCTAGACAAGACTCGGCAGGCATTTCAGCACCACAGAGGAATAGACAGCTCCTCCTGCTGCCGAGCGTCTCAAGCGTGATGCACTTGAACGCACCACAACCTTTCAGAAGAGGCGGCCTGTATTATTTTTGACACTGCAGTCTCCTCCCCAGCCCAGTGTTAATGGCCCCGGGGCCCGCAGTCACTCAGGGGCCAGTTAAAAGGGCCCCGGCTGCAGATCATTTCATTGATCCAATCAATCACAGCCACTTGGTTTATCTTATGATTGACAGAGTAGAATAAGATTTAAATAGATTAGAGTAAAAAGCCTTTAATGTCAAAATTAAAGGCACTACTTCTGAATAACAGTTAAAACAATATGTTGGGGGTTATGATATGATGTGTAAAGTCCATATTTGTTTGCTCTTATTGCTCTGAACAACACCACATATAATTGAATATATTTAGATTTCATTTAAGTTATTAAAGCACATTATGTACTTCACAAACATACAAAGTCTTAACAAATTGCTGGGGCCAGTGCCCCCCCTTTCCCTGCCTTTGGATCTGTCCCTACTTCCTGTTAACTCCAGTTTAATTAGTACACTTATATTGGAGTACTACAATTTTATTTATATAAGCATGTGAAAACAACAGAAAGCAAAATAACTGACAGACAAGAGAGGGCCTCAAAATGATCCTTAAGTTATCATCATTTAGTGCGATGGGTCTGCCTTTGTTGATATTGCACAGTTTGTGTTTTCAAACCTGTCTTTCTACTTGACATGCAGCCTTGTTCCTCTTCACTTCCACAGAAAGGAGGAAGAGCTGGACTCTAAAGATGCCATCATACTCCACCAATTCTCCAGGCCCAAAAGTGGCGTCCCGTCCCTGTCCCCTTTCTGCCTTAAAATGGAGACCTACCTCCGCATGGTTGACCTTCCCTACCAGGTAAAGAAAGAAAAACAAAAAAACTGAAATCCTACCTCATCTGTCTAAAAGTGCACCAGTAAATTACAGGTGATAGGGAGGAGGTTTTCAGTCACTCAGTTTCCTGCAAAGAACAATTTAAATAACCATTAAAAGTTTCTATAGATCCAATTATAATGTAATTCACCCGTTCTTAACCTAAAACCAACCAACTTTCTCTTTTCTGCATTGTTTCATCTTCTTCTTCCCCTGTTCCTCTCCTGCAGAACTACTTTGACGGGAAGCTTTCGCCGCAGGGTAAGATGCCGTGGATCGAGTACAACAAGGAGCAGGTGTTTGGCTCAGAGTTCATCATTGACTTCCTGGAGGAGAGGCTGGGCATGAGCCTCAACAAGAGCCTGACACCGCAGGAGAAGGCCATGTCCCGCGCCATCACCAAAATGGTGGAGGAACATTTCTACTGGTGAGGGACCTGTGGGTTTGCTGTTGATGTTATGGAGTGTTGTTTCAAGCCAAAGAAGTTCTTCTGTTTTCCCTTTTTACTCCTCCTCCCCTCCTCCTCTTTCTTCTTCTTCCTCCTCCTCCTCCTGTACAAATGCACATGTATGTTTGTATCCCAGGACCATAGCTTACTGTCAGTGGGTGGACAATCTAGAGGAGACCCAGAAGATGTTGTCGGTGAGCGGACCGCTGAGTGACCTGCTCAAGTGGATCCTGAGTCACCTGACGGGTGGGATCGTCAAGAGGGAGATGTATGGGCACGGGATCGGGCGGTTTTCTAAGGACGAGGTTTACGCCCTGATGGAGAAGGACATGCGCACCCTGGCCACTATACTAGGTGATGAATCTAGACATCCTTTTTAAAACATATAAATGATGATGCTCATCATTCATGGGAATAGAATCTTTTATAATATAATTGTAAGAGTTCTTATGATCCACTCCAGGTCTCTTAAATCAAAATATAAACACTATCGCTGCATAATAGGAATTTAAAAAGTATTTATGAGTCCACTGTGTAGAAAGAGATTGTTCCACCTGGAAGCAGCTCAACACATTTATTCGTTTTTCAGTGTGTGCCTAGAGAACAACAACCTAGACATCATGTTGTTTGTGGTTTAGTGGCTGCAGAGAAGGAAAGTATAGCTAAGTACTGACCTCCTGTGGTGAAATATAACATTGCAGTCTATAAACCTCACTTTATGCAGGAGAGAGTTGATAGTGCTTGCTGAGGTTCATGTTTTACAAACCTAAAGGCATCATCTAATCTCTGATGCCTTTTACTTTGTGGCCTGAAGTTTTCTTTTAATCTCCATTCAATCTCTTTAAAATACAGCAGGTGTTTATAAGATGCAGTGTGAGGGAAATCACGTTTATGCAATTGTTCTTTTTTTGTGTGAGGTAAATCTTTTTTTGTTTTTTGTCCTCAGGTGATAAGAAGTACCTTATGGGCTCGAAGCTTTCCACAGTAGACGCTGCAGTGTTCAGTCACCTGGCTCCTGCTATGTGGACACTACCAGGAACACGTCCGGAGCAGCTAATCAAAGGTGATAATCTAAACAACTGTTTCAGTTTTAACATCAGTGGATAGATGGTTTATAATAATAACTATTTTTAATTCCTATTAAGTGTGAACCTCCTGAACCTGTTGTAAATGTGTATTCACTCTACCCTAACATGTCAAACACAACTTTTGGTTTTGGACTAACTTACTTTATTATTATCTCTACAACATTACACAGGAATGATTCACTGATTGAAGGGTAGTGTGAAAGAAAAAGGTTGAGTCACTCACAAACTAATCATGTTTTCTTTAGCCATACCTGTTTATCTCAGTTTGTCATTAATACATCTTGGAACTTGTATAAAAAAAAAGAAAATGACTTACAAACTCAATCACTTGCCAAAATTGTAGGCATTTATTTTTCTGCAAAATGAAAAATTAATTGATTAATTAATTAAGATTAACGGGTGTTTTATGTGTCAGTAGGCCTGCATGTACCTGCACACCTCACCAACTCTCTTCTCTGTCCCGTCCAGGTGAGCTGATCAACCTGGCCATGTACTGTGAGCGTATCCGGCGGCGCTTCTGGCCCGAGTGGTTCGTGGACCTGGAGGACTTCTACTACACCGACACCGAGGGCAGCGACTCGCCCTCCAAACTCCCTGACCTGGGTCTCTACTCCTGCACGGACACTTTCCAGGAAGACACAAACACACACATTTCCCAAGCCCACACTCCACCGGACGTCCCGTCGCCGTCCCCCGACAGCGACCCCACAGGCCACTCGCTTTATGACTCTGACATGGACACAGAGTGCTCTGAAATAGACCAGCTCAAGTGTTGACAAAACGTACACGGCTACATACGTGCACACCACAGGAGGGCGCTGTGTCCCGCCTGCACACATGCCCCCCTACCTCTTAGAACAGAAAATAACTGGGGAGTATTCCTGGTGTGGAGAAACCGAGGATGTAGAGGTTTAACTGTAGTGGAGGAATGATCTGTATAGAGGGAAAGGGAGTGAAGGATAGTTTAAAAAGTCAGAGAAGGACAGAAGAAAAAAGGAGGCAGCATTTAAAGGAAAAGAGAAGAGATACAGAAAAAGATTGAAAAGAAAGAAGTTTTAAAACCAGGAGTTGAATGACGCCGCTGCTGAGAAACTCCTCCACATGGTCGACATCATCTGCAGTCACAACCTTCTACCTGTCATCCCGTTGCTGTAACCTCGGCAACTACATGCGTGTGGCCCCCTCGTCCCCCGTAGCAACTTGCACCGCCCGGCCTTGTGTGAGTTTTCGACTAACCAAACCCTCAAACGCCTTGTAATGATATGTCGTCCACATGTAGGGAACTGTACAGGATTCATGTGAACGAAGACGAGTCAGTGTACATATATAAAAGGATCTGATCGGATTCTCGGATTTAATAGATAGAATATTTAATTCTACATGAGTATAAATAGTATAGATAGCTTGCAAATATAAAATCATCCCCTCTGTGATATAGTGTAAATAATGTCTGTGTTTCCTCTGTGAAATCAATTTTGTGTTGGACACAAATTGTCTTGTAATAGTCTCCATGATTACCCACTCCGCTGGTCTAGGATCACATCATGACTTCTTGTGTGTGTCCGTCTACACAACTGGGATATTACAGTCGTTTTCTGTTGCCCATATTTAAAGAGTGCAGTTGCAGATAGTAGATATTAGACTGTAAAAGCACTTTGAAACTTTATTTTGTCTTATTAAGATTCTTATTTTGCCAAAAAAAAGAAAATCCCACATCCTTAGAATTATATGGCAACATATAATCTGTGTCTCAATTCAGGAGCAGCTACATTCAGAGGAAGAGGTCTGCACAGCACAGGAAACCCACCTCGTTCCTGGGCCTTGCGAACCCTCACCAGCCCGTTCCTACTTGGTTGGATACGAGGAGAACGTTTTAATGCCCCTTGCTTCTTTTAAACATGTACCATAGGCTTTTCGGCCGATTGAGGTGTGATACTCGAGCTTTGCACCTCTCGTTGCCATTACCACATGGTTTGTCTCTGAATCGCTGTGCATGCTGGGATAGGTTGAGTCAGATAGGCCCACTTGTTTGAGTCTTTGTTTCTTGCCGGCCGCATTTGTAGGAGCCTTTTAAACGGGAAAGCCAGGTCGCGCCGCTGTGACCCCTGAATTGAGACACAGCTTTACTTTCAGGACCCTGTTTGTCTTTCAGGACATCAGTCACTCAGACATTGACATGCATTAGGAGCGAGGCAAACAATCATGTAGGAATAGATTGAATAGATATATAATCTGAATGAATGTGCATGGCTGGCACATGCCAATGAAAACGTCCCTTTACACTTCATGTGGATGCTTTTATCTGCATTTCTAAGCTGGCCTATTTGAGTTTGACGTCGTGACACAGTTTGGGTGTTCGGTGCCTCTGGGCAAATCAAATATGTAGCAGACGGATCATGAAAAGTACTTTTGTTTTTACTCTGCTAGCGGTTTAGTTTTTGTGTCACCTGCTTCACATTTCAAAATGATGAATTGCTCAGAAGACGTTATGTAAAGCAATAAGAGAGCGAATTTGATGCTAGACTGCGTGGTGGGCGGGCTGTGCGATAGCGAGGTGCGGGTTTTATGTGTGTTTGTCATTCAGCAAATGCACGTGCCGACATGTTGCGTGTTCAGGCTGCTTGTATGGATGCAAGCAAGGGGTGTACAGTGTGTTCACTTCAGTTCATGTTGTGCATGATGAAGCAGTGCTGAGGAACATTTTTCTCCCAAACACACACACACATTCAAGTGTCTTCAAACCTTTTGTGGAGCTGTTTATACTCCGGCTGTAGAGGGTTAAAGAAAAATTCAATGCTGCTAACAAGCTATGATAGCTTAAAGTATCACCACTGGTTAGCTGCGATAGCCTCCTCCATTTTAAATTATTTTGCTTTTGGGCAACGGCAGAAATGTATAAGTCAAAGTAAACAAAAATTTAACTCCAAAAAGATTTTTGCAATTTTACATCTGGCAAATTCATTAATTTCAGCAACTGGATCAAACTAAAAATGTACTGAAATTGCTGTAACAGGCAGTAATGCAGATATACTTGTGTTGTGTGCATATGTTGGCCGGATTAAATAAATCGCAGAACAGTAAAGCCAAAAATATGTTGACGATCTTACATGAGCAGTGTCTCTATTACACTTTTACATCGTGCAAGTTCAACTAAATGTCTCGTGCAGCTCGAGGGTCACAATTTTCTATTATGTCTTTTGAAAAAATTTTGGATCAAATATCAACAACTATTCACTAAAATTCATGATTGGTCGGCCTCTGCTCGTGTAGATGATGCACAGAAATTATACTTATATAACTCAAAGATATGCAGCAGTAAAATGTAGCGGTATATTGTGAAATAAATAGGAAGTAGAGATCAAAACGTCAAAATTGAAATTTGCACTTAGCACTTAGCAAATATGTTTCATTAAGGGAATGTTAAGAGTCTGATGTTTCAGTAGAACCACGGTGTTGATAATGATGATTGTCAGAGGGTTTAACTACAGAGTTTAATGATGATTTAATGACAGAATTGATTTAATTATTCTCGGTGTAGCCTCTTCACTGGAGGAGTTACACTCTGGGTTCTCTGTCAAAATCCAAACCTATACGAAGCCTTTCGAGAGGAGATAATGGACACGTGGACAGATCAGCCTTTATGTGTGTGCTGCAGTTTATTTTCAGTACAATAATACAGCCTGATACTTAAGAAACTGAATTTTCGTTTTGTGTCTTAAAACCCCTTGCCTGCATGTTCTTGCCTTCTCTCATCAACAGTCAGATTTAGCCTTATTACAACTAACTCTTTAAGCCATTTACTTTATGCCACTGCCAGCATATGTTTTTAT